AATAATCTTGCGCCACCCTTGCACAAAAGGACGATAATTTTTCTAATTTCATAGATAACAGAAGACCCTGATAACACTTGTCCACTTTTAATGGCTGTGGTTCATACACACTGGAAAGTGCAGGAAAATTGGGCCGATTTCTCCGCAGCTGCATATTAGCGCCTTAAATGGACAGAGCTTAAATTTTATTAGCGCCTTAAATACACACACAATTGCTGGTTTCCTTCCCCTTATTCTCATAAATTTGCTTTGGCAAACGAAAACAACGAAGAATGTGAAATCAGTGGCTGAATTCAGCAACTAAATGCCTCATGATGGCCACTTCCAGAAACAACTTCCACCGATAAATCTCAATCTTAGTAAATTGCCTTTACAATTGAAACGTTCGCTTAATACAACGCAATCCGATCACAAATCCCTGCTTAGTCTTCTAAGTCTCCATTTGTGCAGCGTTTTGAAAAGGAATCAATCCGGTCAGGGACTTAAATTCCCGTGAATCGATGGGATTGTCGATTCCCGGCCCAAAATTAAATTTACCATCTTAGACATTCGATTTTCCTGCTGAACAAATATCGGTGCGTGATTGATTTTGTCTAATCTGGCTGTATTCGTAATTGACAGGCCTGCAGCCAACAATTTACGGCTCGAAACCGATTAGATTAGTTATCAGCGGGTGGATGGTTGCTGTTGGAGTGCAATTTTGCTGGCAAAGCTTCCAGCAAGTTTAATTTAAAATGAGGCAAACTGGGTCCAAACTTTAACAAAAAAACTTAAAAAAATACAACATTGCCAGCCTGTGGAGACTCGAAACGCAATCACAGCGAAGAAAAATGGCCTCATGCATTTTTCATCGCAAGGCATAACCTTTCCCGACGTGAACTCCCATGTATAAAACAGAAGCCCTCTCCAGCCCGGAAAAAATCTTACCTTTTTCCAATGGGGCCCTCTTGTATTTTTCCAATCGTTTAACGGCAATGGCCTCCAGACGCACCCTGGCGGCCGGATACTCCTTCAGGACGTCCCACATGTCCTTTTTGCTCAGCACAAACAGATCGCTGTAGCCTACAGAGCGGACACTGGCCGTCCTTCTGTTGCCTAATTGCGGATTGGAGAAAGAGCAATGAAGATAAAAACAGTTTGGTGCCAACTCGGGCCCTAAGTACTAGACAAGATGAATTAAACTAGTAGGTGGAGGGCAGAAACTTGAGGATTCAACAAGCTTCATGCGTACTTTGGTCACTGAAAATGCCCGGTTGATTCAACAATCGCAAGGTCTCTAACCTAAGTAGGTGAAGCAGGACTCTGTTCAATCTAGATAAGTCATCTATTCTGGGGGATTTGGGGGTGGTTTTCTGGAAGGTTATTTGCTAGTTTCTGTTAAAGTTTTCCGGGCGAGTGACAGGAGGCCTGGATCTGCAATTTCAGCGGACTTTTGTCAACATATCCAGAATCTAAAGCTGAAATTTTCATGAAAATCGAACACTAATCGGGGAAATCTTGTCGAAATCACGTTATGCATTCCGTCGCCCTTCATGAGCCCACCAAAGAAGCCTTGACCAAGCCAACCTTTTGACAAAATATAATTCTGTAGAGGATGTTTGGCGGAAGCTGTTATTGAACGCTCGACTGTCTTGCAATATTTGCAAATTTCACTATCGACTTCTGCATACCCTTTGCGTGTTTGATCCACACTTTCTTACACCCATAACTCGCCAATTTTCCAAAAATGCTCTGATTCGTAGAATTCTGGACAAAATATCAGTCTGTAGATGATTCATAGAGTTTCATGAAAATTCGAGGCAAAGCTGATCTGCGAGCTGCAGAGAATCAAAAAAAAAATTGTTTGAAGTAAATCGCGTACTTAGACGGAATATTAAGGAAAGTTCGAAATGCATTTTCATTGTGTGATCAACTGTGAGGTGGGCTGTTGGACCATCAAGGGGTAGAAAATGGAGGTTTTGGGCACCAGCTTGCAGAAAACTGGTAAAATGACTCCTAATCCATAAGTTTTCGAATCGCAACTGAAGTGTTATCGATTATTTACCTTTTCTGCCCTTGCGGATTTTCCAAAACATTGATTTGGATATATTTTCTGCTTTACTAAAGACATTTTATGTTTTCGTTCCAGGTAGCACGAAGCAGCTTTCGGTTTTTTGCGGGACTAATGGACAGAAAATGAGGATAGTGCGCCAGCTTGGAGAAAGCTGATAAGAACCTCTATCTATAAATTCCTAGACTTGAATTGCAGCGAATTTGTTGAGAAGCAACTGATCTTTTATGGCTTTCTTTGCCCTGTTCATTTTCTTTGCCTATTTCAAATAATTGCCTTTGGACTGAGTTTCCGTTATACCCAATAAGTTTTTTTTAAATTCCAGATGCATTTCTTGCAGTTTATTTTATTGTTGCATTTAATATTTCTTCGACGAGGAACGACGGGGGAGTTTCTGGATTTTCTAATGGCGTTTTTTTTGCTTTTGGAAAATTCATTTAGAGCTGGACCCAAACGGTGAGAAAAATGTGCCGACACCAAACAAAACAAAGCAGATTTTAGCACAGAGAGGGGCAAATTCGTGCCAAAAGAACTGGACTGCTGCAGCCGTCATTAAGCCCCAAATCCGATATTAAAGCGCTTTGCGACTCCGCCAGTTCCATATTTATGGTCGGAACGAAAGGGCCCACGAAATGTGCCTTGGATGGCTGCCAAAAGCGTTCGATGTACCCCCAAAACGTGTCACCTGGAAATATATGCCTTTCGACGGCATGTTCCATTCTGCTTATTTGGAACTGATTGGGATTGGACTTTGGAACCGATAGAATGACGAATGCTTCTCCAATGTGGAAATATTACGGATCCCGTATCGATTGTGGACGGCAAATGTCTTCAGACTTTGCATGGAACTGTTCCTTAACGAATATTTTTGCGAAAGATCGACGAAGGAATTTTAGTGGAAACTTCAACATTACCTACTAGCGGGGGGTGTAATATAATAACGAGATTAAACACTACCTGATTCTATTAGGGCTTTGCATTAGGGTTGTGAGAAAATCAATGCAATTTCCGGTAAAGCACTAATAGAACTGAGGTTCAAATGGTTAAGACTAGTAAAATACCATAAAAGGGTAATAATAAGCCAGGCAGGATCGGTTGATACGACATGCCGACATGCAAAGATGCCCGATTGTTCCTGCTGGAGCAGGGCGGACACTGAAAGGTCTGCGCTGCTTGCTCCAGCTCGGAAGAATCAGGCATCCGTTGTTCTGGGTTGCCAACAGCCATCAAGTAGAACAGAGGAGAGTGAAAAGTGAAAAGAAATACGAAAAGTGGCGGTCTTCCCAGTGTCGCTCCTTGCCTGCCGACGATATTTACCCAGCCATTTACCTGCCGTGCCCATATTCAAGATGGAGATCTCACCAAAGTAGCTTCCGGCCTTGAGGGTGGCCAACACGTTGCGTCCATTATCGGCCACCACCTGAAGACGCCCTCGATTTACTATGTACATTTCTTTCCCAACTTCGCCTGCAAAATTCACC